TTAACTTTACCATCGTGCAAAAGTGGTAAACATTCATTATGAATTTTGAATTTGGACTTTTTCCTTGGACTAGTGGTATGTCGTACAGTCCTCCCTACTGATGCTGGGCAGTGGCAGTGAGCTGCAGCTCCCATTGAACTCGGCAATCTCCAGGATGAACAACCGATGTACTTAACCACCATTCTGGACCCATTTAACCATTCTGTCTTTCATTTTCAGTACAGTATTCCATACATTACATGAGATTTTCAACATTTTATTATGAAATAAGCTTTGTGCTGGATGATTCTGTAGGCTAATGCATGTGTTCTGAGCACCTTTAAGGTAGATGAAGCTAAGCTATGTTTTGTAGGTTGGGTATATTAAATATATTTTCAACTTACGATATTTTTCTACCTATGCTGAGTTTATTGTGACATTACCCCATCATAAGTGGAGGAAGACCTGTACTAAAATAATATAACTGGAGAAATATGTGAGCATACATAGCAATCAGAGCTCAGAATAAAGATGTCTTGGCCCAATTTTGGACCAAACGTCGGAATGCCTCTGATTTATACTTTAGGGAAGGGAAATGAAATTGGTGATACTTCTGTGGACAGCCTATATATCAGGCCTTTTACAGCTACTATCCCATTCAATCCCAGTGTGGCCATTTGCTAGCTATGTTATCTTGGGCATGTTACTTAAAAATTTTGTGCGTCAGTTTCCCCATTTTTTGTAAAAGTAAAACAAAATGAAATCAGGAAGCCAAAAACTCAGAGTTATTCTGAGGATTAAAGATTATGTGGACCTTGTTAAGCGCAGGCCCTGTCACAGAGTAAACACTGCGTGACCGTTCACTATTAATGCCCTCACTGATAAGGAAACAGGTTCTCGGAAACTAGAGAATGTAGGTTAAAGAACTTGGAAGAGGATGCACTTGAAGCCCATACACTGTTCTGTATACCAAGTAGTTGCTCATTTTCATCTTGGTTGTATGTTTAGCTAATCCTGTAAGTTTAGGTAAATTACTTAATACCTTGGGGCCTTGGTTTCATTGTTTGTAAAACAAAAGTGTGGGAGTTAATAACATTTATGGCCCCTTTCAATCCTTATATTCCATAAGTATTATTATGAACATTGGTGACCAATGAACACTTGGGGAAAAATTATTTCTCTAGAAATGGGCAGGGACTAAAACAGTTGACCTTTGGCATATGGTAGATGGTAATAAAAGGTGCTTGTTAGTATCACCAATGCAAGGTTCTCCCCAGGTTGGGGAAAGTTCACCTCCAGCAATAGTGTTTAAGATGTCCTAGCAGCAGGTTGGCTACTCTCCAGGCTTGGGAAAGAAAGGACTTACTCATTTTGTTTTTCTAGTGCACAGGAAACAATCTAAATTCATCTGACCATGCTACAAATGCAAGATAAATGAATGATGAGCAAACTCAGGTTTTGGTAAGACAGATTTGATTGAAGAAGGGAAAGCTTTTCAGATTTAGGTAGCCATCTGAGATTGAAAACCAAGGGCAGTCCTGAAGTTTTCTCAGGCACACAAGAAAAAGAATTAGGTGGCACCAAAGTTATTTGATACCCTCAATCTGAAAGACGGTAAACATAATTCCATTCCAAATGCTGAGTCACGCTTATGAGGACAAGAAGAAACACTTAAGAGTCTAACTTTCCTGAGATACAGGTCTTTAGTAGATTGCTTTCTGCTAAAATAATTACTTCATGTTTTAAAATTGCTTCTGGTAAGTGCTTCCCCTCCTACACCCTCACTAAGTTTTTTCCTTTTTTAGTCCTCAACCTGTTTGTTTATTTTTGTTTTAATTCCATGAGCAAAAAGAAGCTGTAGCAAGTGTCTGTGTGCAGGGAAGATTTTTTTTTTTTTTACCATATATATTGTTTGTGGATCTAATGTAATATTTAATCTGAAGAGTAATTCCTAAATTAATGATTCCTCTTCCCCCCCAAACTATCTTAATAGTTTAAAAAAAAAAAAAAAGAAAGAAAGAAATTGCTTACGCATATGGGAAGTTACACTCCTATTAGATAACCTAAGTAGCAACCAAACTTTCAGTGGAATTCTTGTCACAGGAAGCAAGACAAAGGGGCAGAAATAGGCAGGGAGCTACTTTAGGTACTCATAACTAGTATTCTAAGTTTTAAAGCATTACGTGTAAAGCTAAAAGGAATACTTTTTTTTTTTAAGATTTTATTTATTTATTTGACAGAGATCACAAGTAGGCAGAGAGGCAGGCAGAGAGAGGGAGAGAGAGAGAGAGAGAGAGAAATAGGAGGAGGAAGCAGGCTCCCTGCCGAGCAGAGAGCCCGATGCTGGGCTCCATCCCAGGACCCTGGGATCATGACCTGAGCCGAAGGCAGAGGATTTAACCCACTGAGCCACCCAGGGGCCCCCAGGAATACTTTATTTTAATATTGTATTCCTTCCAGAAAATATTGATGGAATAAATAGGGAATCATTTTTGGTTTTGTAAGTTTCTGTGGGTCTTAAAGAAGAGTATTGTAAACCCCAGCATTTTGAAATTATCTAGTGTTTATATTTAAAAATTAACATTATCTTTACCGCTTTTGTCTTGAACAAGTGGATGCCAAAGTTATGTTGAATAATTATAAATTATCATGTTTTATGCAGTAATTGGAAGTAACTTTTATAAAAACTTTCTATTTTTAAATTATTTTTCCAGGCTGTAGTTGAGATGTATGTGTAGAGGTTGGGGAAGTGGAAACAGAGGTAGGCTGCTTAGAAAAAGAAGATCCAGAGTAAACTGTAGGCTCATCATGGTTAAGTTTCTTACCTCTCTTCCCTTAAGCCCTCCCATAAGTACCTTTTCCTTCAGTGCCTTTCCTAAATTCCACCAGATGTCTAGTGTCTTTCTGCTTTCCTTTGGTTAAGTTGGGCCCCAGTTTTGGCAAATGAAATCATGTCTGATACTTCTGACTTTTCTCAACTCCTCAAAATTCTCTACTTTCTCCCATGTTCTATTCCATTAGGTGCTGTCTTGGGTTTAGACCCTTATGGATAGCTACAGGTTATTAAGAACTGAATTCCTACTGGCTTGTTAGCTACCAAGGTGACCAGGACTTGCGGGGAAAATAAACAGGGTCTGGAACAAATAGGGTCTGGAACAAATAATTCACTTAAATTTTCATTTCAAATCAATAAACACTTATCAAACCTCTATTATGTTATAGGCACTGTGCTAGCACCAGAGTACAAAAGTAAATAGGTGGTCCATTTTCCAAGAACTGATCTGTTCTGGGAGAATTAGTGGGAAGGAAATACAGGACTAGCACCTCAATTCAACCAGATTATTCATTTTCTATGTAAAATGTTGCTCTTTAGATAAATGTTTGGGATTTGAAAAAAATCTGAAAACATTGGTTTATTACAGGGGTTCTCATTAGAATCACCTGGGGGAACTTTTCTTGTGAACAGGTGTTCACAAGCTTTAGTGTGTAAGAGAATCACTGGAAGAGCTTGTTAAATCAGAAAGGCATCAGCCCCAGATTTTAGGAATCACACAGTTGGGAGTGAAGCCGAGAATTTGTATTTCTAAGTTCTTAGGTGATGCTGCTGGCTGCTGGCTCCCTTGGCTATCCTTTGAAAGCCAGTTTTAAAATGTAAGACTCTCCAGGTTCAATCTACAGAGTGATTCACCTGGTGTGAACCTGGGATCGATCATTTTATACCCGCCTTTCCATTCTAATATGTACCCAAATTTGGGAACCTGGTTAGACTGGTTTCCTGAAGTTACTGAGTTTGGGACCCAATGAATCTACACATTCCTTTATGTCAGTTACAATTTTGCAGGCATTTAAGGAAATTGACTTAATAAGTAATTGGCTGGAAAAAAACCCCACCATTGCTATTTGGGTTCAAAGTAATTTGGCTGCCTTCCTTTGGAAGGCCTTTCCAACCCTCCCCTGGGTATTTTTCAACACCAAGGTAGAAATCTTACTTGCAAAACTCCCAGAGGTTGTGGGAGGAAAGGTCTTAAAGAAATGGGGTCCATTTGAACCCCATCTGCGTCCTCCCTGGGTCCATTTGGGCTTGTCTAGCCACTTGCAGTTCCAAGTGAGCTGGGCATGCTCAGTGGGCAGGGTCGGTTTTAGGGGGTGCATCTGGGAAGTCTGCTGCTCTGCAGCGGGGCTCTACGCCTCCCCCCACCTGTATGAGGCTGGACCTGAGGAGCCAATGCTCGGCATCCCACCTTCTGGTGCTTGGGCTTGGCCTTCCCTGAGGGTTCCCGCGCTGACATACAGCGGGAAGGTCAGGAGGCCGAGAGCGCCTACAGGAGCGCGCGGGGAGAGCCCCGAGCGAGGGCTTTGGGCTCTGACGGCCGGGTCCCAGGGGTCCACCCGTTTCCCAGAAGCGTTTCTAGGCCCAGGGAAGCCTTTCTGCTGAGGAAGGGAAGCCAGATTCGGGGGCGGGAGGCGAGAAATCAGGTAAGCCAGCCTGCCAGCATGCAGACGGTCAAGAGTCTCCTCTCTCCGGGACAGGTGGCGAGGGCGGCCCGCGTGGGGAGGGCAGAGGCAATCGGACACCTCCCCCATATTCCCCAGGCCTAGCCGAGCCCAGGCTTTCTTGTCTGCCAGGCGGCCGACAAGGCGGGGCGCAGGGCAGGAACCGCAGCCAGGGTCGAGGGCCCGCGCAATGGCGCGCCGCCGCCCCACCCGGCGGGACCCGCGGCCGCGTGTCCCCGTCCGGTCACGTTCATTGGGCGGCGGAGACCTCGGTCGCTCGCCACCCGCTGGTTCGCGACGCTTCACCCCCTACCCCGGCCCCGGCTCCCGCCTCCACTTCCGTGTCTCCCCGCTGGGCCGGAGAAGCCTGGGCCCGAGGAATCCGGGCTGGATGCAGCGGTCGCGCCGCCAGGGCCAACCCCTGGGGAGGAAGGAGGAGCAGGAGCGGGAGGAGGAAGTCGCCGGAGAGGCGGGGGTGCGGCGGCGCGGGGCGCGTCGGGTTACACTGGCTCGAGCTGCCGGGGATTGACAGCCACGCGCGCCTCGCCGCGAGGATCAGGGCCGAGGGTCTGGTTCGGGGGGAGGCAGAGACTCCGCCCCACCCGGAGGAACTGTGCGCTCCTGCTCTCCCCTCGCGCGAGAGGATCAATCTCAGGTGTGTGCTTCCTGGAAGACCCCCTTTCCCCGCCCCCAGGGTCATAGGGGAGAGCGGTCCCTTTCCGACCCGCGTGAGTCCTCTAGGACCCCGGTGTTGGGTGGGGTGGTGGTGGGATTCTTGGGGGAAGATTGAGAATTTCTCCCCAACAGAAGGTGGCCTCGTTCTCAGGCAGAGTTTAGCTCTTTATATTTTGGAGGGCGATGGGGTTAAGATACATTTTGGGCAAGCGTCGGTAGCTAATTGAAAGTTTCCTACAAACTTTTGGCTTGTGGGTGTCGCTCCTCTGATGAGAAGGACTGTTGCTCCCTTCTGAAGCAAGGGAGGGAGATTCTAGAACGGTGCTGAGGCTCTTTTGAGAACCTTGGGTGCTGGAGTGTGACAGTTATAGGAGGAAATGGAAAGTGTACACCGATGTACTTAAAACAGCCTCCTCTCTCCACGTAGTAGCGTCTCTGAGCAAAAATAGATTTGCAGAGTGCTTTGGCAGAAAGGTGTAGCCCTGTGAATGAAGTGTTGCTCTTACCACTTAGTTTCTAGACAGCCTTCCACCTTATGCGCACGAGGATTCACTCCCCAAACGCCTTCCTTAAGAGTTTCCAAGTAATTTACAAACACAAATTCTCAGTCTTAGTGACATGGGCCAACCCACACTGCACATCACATTATACGTATCATGGGAGGCAGTTATAGAAATAGCTAGCTAACAGTTAATTTAGTCGACTTATAAATAGTCTTGTATAAATAGTTGAGGGAAGGAAGGGTAAGTTACACCGTTTGTTGCTTTAAACAAAACTGTTAGAATTTTGCATATGTTTCAAGTTTAAGAGTTTGTGAAGTTTATTTTTGGACTGTGGAGGATAATGGCAATGGCCACACTGGGGCCAGGCACTTCCTGACTGCTCCCAGCTACTGTGGTCTTGCAGGCTGTCCAGTGAGAGCTGGGTGCCATTGCCCAATGGATACTATACGCAACCTGGGGAACTTTATGATGTGGATGTTGAAACCACTCTGTGATCCTCATAAGGACATATGTCAAGTTACAATGCTCCCTTGATTTTTAAAAATCAGCTTTTCAAATAAAGCATTACCTTAGTAAAAAATGGATAAAATATGGAATTTTAGGTTTGACAGACAACATAGGTGGAGCTGTCTGTTCTGATTTCTCACATGGTCACTTTGTAAAGAAATTCTGAGCAGCATTAAAGTGCTACTTCCCCCCACCCCCCTTTCGGGGGAGAGGTAGAGGGAGAGGGAAAGAGAATCTTAAGCAGACCTATGCCTAGTGCCTAGCCAGACACAGGGCTCAGTCTCACAGCCCTGAGATCATGACCTGAGCCGGAATCAAGAGTCCGATGCTTAATCCACTGAGCCACCAAGGTTCCCCCTTCTCTCTGATTTATTAAAAGATGTATTGAGCGCTCAGTAATTGACAACAGGGCTACAGTTACCAGTTGTCATGGGTTTTACCCCCTCTTCCTTTAGTTCATGTAACTAATCTCATTAAAGCTATTTAAGAAGATTTGACTGTCACTGTAAGTAAATCATATTGGCAAACTATTACAACTCTAAAATTATTCTGTTGGGTTGTTTTCTGTCTTTCATCCCTGGAAGGTAAATTCTGTGAGGAGGATTGGTCTGCTTCACTGGCATTTCTATTCCTAATGTTTAAAGTGGTGACTAGCTTGTAATAAGTGCTCAATAAATATTTTCTCAATGAGTGACTGAACTGTGGGACAAACTCTAGCTGAGTGTAGTTGGGGGAAGAAAATAAGACTATGGCCTTAGGTAAGTTATTCAAACTCACCGAGCCTCAACTGTCTCATTGGCAAAATGTGGATAATAGAATATGATATAGCACATGTAAAACTGGTAGAGATGTTAGGTAGTAGACTTCAAAATATTATCTCCCTTCCTTCTTATATATTTTTCTTTATATATTGAAAAGGGAAAGACTTGGACAAAGAATAGATAATTTAGCTCCTGCAAATTGTGCATGAATTATCCAGGCATTATACCCTTTACTTTGTGTGTGTGATTGAGAGGGAAGGTGGCTAGTGGCAAGCCCTTATTACAGAAGGAAACCGTTTTCCCGATGAGTATCTAACCCCCCCCTTTTTAAAAGATTTATTTATTTGAGAAAGAGAGCACGTGAGCAATAAAGCAGGAGGGGCAGAAGGAGAGAAAATCTCAAGCAGACTCCACGCTAAGTGCACAGCACATCAAGGGACATGAGGTCATGCCTCGATGCAAATCCAAGAGTCAGATGCTTAACTGACTGCGCCACCCAGGCACCCTCTCCTCTTTCTTTTTTATTTATTTTATTTATTTATTTGTTAGAGAGAGAGAGAGAGAGTGCGCACACAAGAAGGCAGAATGGCAGGCAGAAGTGGAGAGAGAAGCAGGCTCCCTGCCAAGCAAGGAGCCTGATGCAGGACTTGATCCCAGGACCCTGGGATCATGACCTGAGCTGAAGGCAGTGGCTTAACCAACTGAGCCACCTAGGCGTCCCACTTCTTTCTTTCTTTCTTTATTTTTTAATGTGATGATGTTTCTGCTTAGGTTTTCCAAAACTTGGGTCATTCTGCTTGTCAACACCAGGATTCACTAGGTTGTTTAGTCCTGAAACAACACTTCAGAAAGAGCATTAGATATAAAACACATTTGGGGCACCTGGGTGGCACAGTCGGTTACGTGTCTGACTCTTGGTTTTGGCTCAGGTCATGATCTCAGGGTGGTGATCTCAGAGTCATGAGATCGAGCCCCGAGTTGGGTTCTGCACTCAGCCTGGGGTCTTCTTGAGATTCTTTCTTCCTCTCCCCCTGCCCCTCCCAGTTGTATGCTTTCTCTCTCTCCAAAATAAATAAATAAATCTTTTAAACAAAAAAAAAAAAAGAAAGAAAGAAAGAAAGAAAACATTCAATCTTGAACAACATGGGTTTGAACAGTGTGGGTTCACTTAGATGTGGAGTTTTTTTTTTTTTAAATAAATACAGTATAGTATTGTAAACATATTTTCTTTTTCTTACGATTTTCTAAAAACATTTTCTTTTCTCTAGCTTACTTTACTATAATACAGTATATCATACATATATAACATGCAAATTTTGTGATAATCCACTTTGTTTTCAGTGAAGCTTCTGGTCAACAAGAGTAGGCTATTAGTAGTTAAGTTTTTGGGGAGTCAAAAGTTATATGTGGATTTTCAACTATGCAGGGGGTCAGCATCTCTAACCCCTGCCTTGTTCAAAGGTCAACTGTATATTTAACACTTGGCTTCTTGAAGAAGTTTTCTTTAGGCTTGTGTAGCATTAGAGTAGCAAGTGCTAGAAGAAGAAAAAGTATGGTCATCTTGCTTTTGAGAGAGTTAGAGTTTAACAAGGTAAAACAGTTAGACACCAGCATAAGATCTTGCATAATCATATGCCCATGGGTAGAATGTTGACTTCAACTGTGCGGTTATGCCAGGGAGATAGATGTTAATATGGGCTCAAATAGTTGAGACAGTTTTGTGGTGAAGATAATGTCATTTCAGCAACAGAGAGACCTATAGTTTCCTGAAGATTACAGCGAAGAGAGGTCATGATTGTATCAAGAATGTTCACTATTTCGTATTTCACTGCATTAAAAAGCCAGCACAATCCTTTGCTTTCAGACAATCCTATGTGGAAAAGTATTAAACCTAAAAACAGTAAAATTCTGGATGTGCACTAAATATTACTTTTCACTGTATCTCTGAGTTTTAAAGCTCAGGATTGGGGTTAGAAATTGTAACCCTTCATTTTTACCACTTCTACCACACTTACATAAAAATGTATAACATGGCCTGCCTGTTACATTATCCAGCTCTATCTAATGGGATATATTTTTCATCTGATGTTTCTGGGGAAAATTACTAATCATCGGGTGTGGGACCCCTACACCTGGCTAATTTCAGGACTGTCATTTTGGGAGATAAGGAAGGACTGAATGGAACTAAACTGAGAAGATTATTAATGTGTTTTAGATGCTAATTCAAATACTTAGATAATTCCATCAGGACTCATCCCCCCCCCCCCTTTGAGATAAGAAGAAATGGTAAATTGTGTCCTCAAGGAAGAAGCAGCTAAGGAAGGGAGTGTTGTACAGTTCCTTGTTGACAGGATGGGGGAAAGAAATGCAGGAAGGAGAGATGATTAGATTCAACTAATCTAATTATCAAAAGACAGGGGCTAAGGTGGCTGTAACCTAGGACATCTGTAGCAACTGTTTACTTTGAACATAAAGTTTTGTTCCTCTTGTATATACCCATCTGGCCTCAGCGGCCACTGGTGGATACAAAGTTAGTAAAAGACTTTCTAAGCATAAGTCTCCAAGTAATGGTGAGAGGACATCTCATTTGATAGCAAATTCTAGAAAACTCATTTTCACAAAACAACCTCTCTGTTGTGGTTTGTGGGGTCTGCTTTCCTCTCTATATTATAAAAACTTTTTATAGTAGAATGTAAGCAGGTAATCAAATATGAGCTTCCGCAGAGGACACACTACTCTGGTAGACCTCTTTCTGTATTATCTGACCAGGGATTGACCTCAGGAACTTTTAAGGGAAGGGAAACATGGGAGCCTATGGTTTGCATACCTGAGAATGTTTAGGAACTGACTATGACCAGAGTTTGTCCAGAACTCTGATTTTATGTCCTGACATGAATGTGACCATGGGTTTTTGTTTATTTGTTTTTTCTTGTTTTCCAGGATTTTTGCCTTTTGTTGGAGGTTCTTAATGGCTCTTTGTCTTAAATATTTCTTCCTAGAGCATATCTGTGTTCTTTCCCATTTTTCAGTTGAAATTTTTATGTTGGTTCTTTCAAAATCAGATTTCTGATTTATGCAGCAGGTAAGACATGGTTTCTGATTTTAATGAGGTCAAGCTGTGGTTTTGTTAGTTCATTAAAATTAGGAGGAAGAAACTAATTAATAGAAAATCTTTCCTTCCTAACTAAAATTTATTGTGACATACATAA